TGTCCAACAAGCATTTTAGAAGTGATCATTTCACTGCCACCTCCCCACAGAATTTCAAAGTAAACCTTATGGGGGGTGCCTGGGTGGCTCAGTCGGTTAAGCGTCCGACTTCGGCTCAGATCATGATCTCACGGTTCGTGGGTTTGAGCCCCACATCAAGCTCTGTGCTGACAGCTAGCTCAGAGCCTGGAGCCTGTTTCGGATTCTGTGTCTCCTCTCTCTCTGACCCTCCCCTGTTCATGCTGTCTGTCTCTCTCAGAAGTAAATAAACATTAAGAAGAAAAAAAAAAAAAAGTAAACCTATGGTTCTCAAATTCCTTAGCCTTTACTTTCTCTGTAAGACACTTTTGTCATGAACTCCAAAGTCTCTGTGAGGAAAAAGAGACTAAGGTATCAATAAGAAGAGATCAAATTTTTCCTTGATTTCCCATTCAAATTACCTTTAATTCAAGTCATATGCTCAGTCCATGTCTATGAAATTTTCAGATAAAAAACAAACATCAAGATAGAAAGGGAAAAATTCAACCACTTGAATTGACAAACTTATGACTGTAAACACCTGGATGGATGGATGGATGGATGGATGGTCTTTCCAGAAGCCCTCAACAGACTGTTACTTTCTTGTCATTGGCCAGAGTTGCATCATATAGCTCCTCTACTTTTAAGGTAGTCTGGAAAGGAGATTATTTAGTTTCTTCAGCCTCTACATTAGAGGCAGGTAATGCAATGGCATTTGAGAATGAGTGCTAAATTGACCAACTCATAGTTCTAGCTAGATTAGCAAAAGCAAAAGAAGGCCACAGGTGAAATGGGTATATTGGGAATGTCCAGGGAAGAGTTTTTAAACTAGGGTTTCAAGTTTGGATGCTCATCGTAATCATCTGGATATCCTCCACTGAGATTCTAATTTAATTGGTTTTGGGTGTGGCCCCTTGCATCAGAATCTTTAAAAGTTCCTCTAAGTGTTTCCAATGCTCAGCCAAGATTGAGTGAGAGCTTCTAGCTTAAACAGATAAATATAAAGACTTATATGTCCAAAGAAGATAGCAAAAGTATTAGATGAATCATCAGTCATTATTTTTGTGGATCTGAAGTTGAAGATTAAACAAAGGTTTAAAAAAGAGCTTTACTGGAAAAAGCAAGAATCTAGAAAAAGTATCCCCTGATTTTACAAACACTTGAGTGACAAATGGGCATTAGACAACATGAACAGGTTTATTTTTTACAGGGGTATATTGATGAATTAACACTCAATTTAATACTTGGATCTATTAGCATATAAGATAGCCAGCCTTATTTCCATGATTAATTGGATAACTTTGTCACTATTATATATTCACATCAGAGCCCCACCACTTCCTATCTGTGGTCTTGTGCAAACTACAGACTTCTCTGAAAGCCTCAATTTTCTTATTTATAAAATGGGGAAATGACTGGAACCTATCTCAAAAGGGTTGTTGTGAGCAGCTATTGAGATAAACTGAATAAAACAGTTCAATGTCTGGTACATATTTATAGCTCAATATCATCATTGTTTTGGGAAACCCATTCAGCATGCTCATTTACAAGCATTAGTGTTATCAAGAAAGAAATAGAAAAAATTGGATCTGAAAACCCTTGAGATGACAAATAACTCTTATCATGAGGCTTGTGATCAACTAATATTCAACTATCCCAGAGGAAGATATCTTAAAATAGTTATAAAATGCTGCTAGAGGAACTTAGGTTGAATATGATAAAAATAGGGGCATCTGTATGGCTCAGTCAGTTGAGCATCCAAATCTTTGTTTCAGCTTGTATCTTGATCCCAGGGTTGTGGGATCGAGTCCCATGTTGGGCTCTGGACTGAGCACGGATAGCATGCTTGAGATTCTCTCTCTCTCTTCCCCTCCCTCACTCTGCCCTTCTCACATACTATCTCTCTAAAAAAATAACAAATTTTAAAAAATATGTTAACAATAATTAACTGTGAAGGTAACCGAACATGACAATATATTACTGTAAGACCCAATGGCATCTCCTCCTATGAAGGTCTACTGTAATAGGAGATATCTCCATCTATAGAGTAGTGTAAGCCAGAAGTGTGGTGAGTAAATTAACTCTTAACATCCTTTTAGCTTTATGAGTCAACAGTTGCTACCCAAAAATATAAACTCAAGGAGATGAAATTCAGACTTAAGTTTCAAAGTGATGCCATTGAGACCAGTGGCTTGTTTATAAAATCCCACAGCAAAATCTGTATTTCCTCCAAAAGACAAAATGTCTTGGCCTGAGCAAGTAGAGGCAAAAAACTCACCCTAAAAGGCTTCACCCCCAAGAGTCTGTGGGCAGAATGGGTGCCACAATGTTCCAAATATAGGCCTGTTCTTAGGACCCTGGATCTTCCTTTCCATCGGACTGAAGTGCACAGTTAGGTCCACACCATCCCAGGTGACCTGGGATTTTGTTCCCCCACTTCAGATACTCTTTAAATAAGAGAACTTGTCAGTCTCTATTATGTCTGGCAGACAGTAGGTGCTCAATAAATATTTGTTGAATGAGCCTGATCATTCTGAAGAAGAGACTCCTTTGTTCTTTTGGATCATTGGCCTATGGCTTCTTGGTCTAACAAATTTATGGCACCAGTTCATATCTTTCTCACCCACAGGTTTCAGCAGAATACCTGAGGCTGTACTTACAAAAGGTGGCCAGGAGGACCCATCCATTTTGGCAAGTACCTCTGGTCTGAAAGGTACAAATCAGAACTTTCACCACATTCCATCAGGCACTCACTGGTGGTGCCAACACCTCAAAACGCCTGCTTGGGCCATTTGTCACCATGTGGACTCATACAGACCACTATGGAAAATGGTATATTTGAACCAGCCGGAATGACCTGTCTATATGTGTAGACAGCCATGGTCACTTTTTCTCAATAGTACTTGTTGTGCTGATTGCAATGTGGTTCCTATTATGCTATTATTTTCCTTTAGAAGTAAAATTTCTTTTGGAAAGCTGGAAATTCCTGAAATAATTTCCTATCTATTCTTTCCTCTTATCTTCCAAAAGAGCGGCTCATAATCTGATTATTAGTCAGTACATAGGAAAAGGGAAAAAAAAAACATTTATTATTACTATTACAATTAGTTTTCCTTAGAATTCCAAGGAATTCACATAATTTAGAGAAAGCCATTAGAAGGAAATTGTTATTTTCAATGTGATTCTTCCTGAGGAGGTATGAATTAAGAGATCTTGCTCTGTCTTTCCTGGAAATGGATATTAGACTTGAAGAACAAGGATTTTTTCCCCCAAACACATAAAATCATCGCTATGATGTAATCAGTAGTAGGAGTAAATCTATTATACTCTTGTCATTTCTCCCTACTACATTTTTATAGGTCCTCACCAGTAAAACTTTACCATTTTCAGAAGCTTTTTTTTTCTTTTTAGCATTAATGAGGAAAAATTAATGGGGGTATTCCCAAGTTACAAAAGTATCCTCAAGTATACCTCACACTAGAGAAGGAAGAACCAGAAAATAATTATTCCATTATAACTCCTGCCTCAAAAATATAAGATACCTAACATTATAAACACTATACCCCATGTTAGTTATCTTTCTTATGTGTGAATCTTATCTCCTCATTCAATAAACTCCCTGAGGAGAAAGAGGCCACCATTTATTGAGAATAAACCAGAGCCCACTATGTATTTTATTCTCTGTATTACCAACAGTCCTGTGAGGTCATTACAGATGAGGAAAGTGTGGGAGGTTTGAGTCATTCTTCCAAACATATACAGTGACCAAGTAATGTTTCCCCCACCCTCTGTGTGAGCTTGTCCAGGCACTCAGTGAAGTTTTGCTAAGCAACACAGACCAGCCTCAATAGTTGTCATCAAGAGATTACTACTATGAGCCTACTATTACCAGAATGTCTGTTACTTGAGTTCTACTGAGACTTCTGGAGTCACCTTTGACCTTAAGAACAGCCTTAGCTTTAAACATCAATATTGGTTTGAGCCTTTATCCACTTATTTTGAGAAACCCAGTGTCCTCCACTCCACCCCAATATTAACTAGTCATTTAAGCTCAAAGTTCATTGAGTGCCTCTGTGTGCCAGGCATTCTACCCTCTTGGGAGAGAGTACAAAATAAGATAGATTAAATCCATTCCCCCATCGGACTTACATTCCTGTGGAGCTGTTAGTTGTCAACTGCCATGTAACAAATTACTAGTGACTTCAAACAATACTCATTTATTAGTTAACAGTTTCTAAGGTTAGCTGGGGAACTCTGTCTCAGGGTGTGGTTTAGCTGGGGGCCTCTGACTCAGGGTCATAAGGCTACAAAGTGTTAGCTGGAGCTTGTAGTCATCTCAAGACCCAACTGGAAGAGGATCTGTTTCCAGGCTCATTCATGTAGCTGTTTATAGGTCTCAGGTCCTTGCTAGCTGTTGGCAAAGGCACTGGTTCCTCACCACCCAGGCGTCTCCATAGGCTGCTCATAGCATGGAAGTTTGCTGCCTTCAGAGCAGCGACTCCCAGAGAGGGAGTAAAAAAGGATAAGAGAAGGCACAATGGAAGTCACAGTCTTTTTTGTAACCTAATCCCATCACTTTTATTGAATTATAATTATTAGAAAGGCGTTAACTCGGTCCAGCTCCAGCTAATACTTGAGATAGAAGGAATTGCACAAAAGCCTCAATCAGATGAAAGAGACCATTGGGGGCCAATTTAAAGGTTGCCTAGCACAGAGACACCAAATAAATAAAAATTGAAGGCGATGGAAAGTGTTATGAAGAAAAATGAAGCAGAGTAAAGATTAGAAAATCAGGTGTTGAGGAAAAAGTATTATTAATAAGATGATCCAGGGTGCCTGGGTGGCTCAGTCAGTTGACTGACTCTTTTTCAGCTGAGGTCACAGTCCTACCATTGTGGGATTGAGCCCCACATCGGGCTCTGCACTGAGCATGGAGCCTGGTTAAGATTCTCTGTTTCCCTCTGCCCCTCTCCCCTGCTTATATGCTCTCTTTCTAAAATAAAAACAAAAAAACCCAAATAGGATGATCAAAGAAGCTTTCTTTGCCAAGGTGACATAAGCTAAGATCTGAAAGATGTTCAGGAACCTGCTATTCTAGAATCTGGACAAAGAACATACCAGGCAGAGAAGACACAAAGTATATAACCCTGAGATGGTAAGGGCCTTGACTTGTTGGGCAAATGACAGGGACACCAGTGTGGGCAATCAGAAGGAGGAAGGTGTAAGGTGGAAGAGACAAGGCCAGAAGGTCAGCCAGGAGCCAGGGCACACAGGATCTTTACGACCAAGGCAGAGATTCTGGGCTTTATTCTAAAAAGAATGGGAAATCATCATGATCTGAGTTACATTTTTTTCACCAACCTTCGTGAGGTATGACTGACAAATGAAAATTGTGTACATGATATTTTGATAGATGTATACATTGTGAAATCATTAACACTATTGGCTAACTCACTTATCTATCACCCCATCTCTCATGGTTACCATTTGTGTGTGTGTGTGTGTGTGTGTGTGTGTGAGTGAAGAACACTTGAGATCTACTTTCTTAGCAAATTTCAAGCATATAATATATTATTATTACCTATAGTTACCATGTTATATATTAGGTTTCCAGAACTTATTCCTCTTGTAACTGAAAATTTGTATATTTTTATCAGCATCTCCCCATGTCCCCCAGCCTCTACTCTCTTATTATGAGTTCAGCTTTTTTTGATGTCACATATAAGTGAGAACATGTCTTTTTGTATCTGGCTTACTTAGCATAATGCCCTCAAGGTCCACCCATGTTGTCTCAAATGGCAATATTTCCTTCTTTTGTAAGGCCGAATAGTATTCCATTGTGTAATACATACCACATTTTCTTTACCCATTTATCCTTAGACAGACACTCTGATTATTTCCATAAATATTTTGGCTTTTGTCAATAATGCTTCAATAAATAGATGGATGCAAATATTTCCTAGAGGTACTGATTTAATTTCCTTTGGATACATACCTAGAAATGAGATTGCTGGATCAACAGTAGTCCTATTTTTAATATTTTTAAGGAACATCCATACTATTTTCTGTAATAGTTATACCAGTTTACATTACCATCAGAAGTGTATAAATGTTCGTTTTCTCTGAATCTTTACAAACACTTGTCATTTCTTGACTTTTTGATAACAGCCAAAGGGTGTGAGGTGGTATCTCATTGTGGTTTTAATTTGTATTTTCCTGATGATTAGTGGTGTTGAGCACTTTTTCATATACCTGTTGATCATTTGTATGTCTTTTTTTGGAAAAATGTCTAGTCAGACTTTTTGCCCATTTAAAAAATTGGGTTATTTGTTGTTTTTGCTATTGTATTGTATGAGTTCTGTATTGAGTTTTGTATTGTATTATATTTTGGGTATTAACCCCTTATCAGATATATGGTATGCAAATATTTTCTCGTATTCTGAAGGCTGCTTTTTCATTTTGTTGATGGCTTTCTTTTGCTATGCAGAAACTTTTTAGTTTGATGCAATCCCACTTATTTATTTTTGCTTTTGCTTCCCATGCATTCAGTGTAAGATGCAAACAAATCAATGCCTAGACACTTGTTGTCAATCATTTAAAAAATATTTTTAATGTTTGTTTATTTTTGAGAGAGAGAGAGAGAGGGAGATAGAGAGAGAGAGAGGGAGAGAGAGAGAATGTGAGCAGGGGAGGAACAGACAGAGAGGGAGACACAGAATCCAAAGTAGGGTCCAGGCTTTGAGCTGTCAGCACAGAGCCCAACGTGGGGCTCAAACCCACAAATCGTGAGATCATGACCTGAGGTGAAGTTGGCCACTAAACCAACTGAGCCACCCAGGGACCCCATCAAGCAGTTTTAAGGAATTCTTCCCTCCTGTTTTCCTCTAGGAGTTTTATAGTTTTAAGTCTTACATTTAAGACTTTACCCATTTTGAGTTGATTTTTGTGTATGATGTAAGATAAGGGTCCAATTTCATTCTTTTGCATGTAGATAACCAGTTTCCCAATACCATTTACTAGAGCCTATCCTTTGCCCATTGTGTATTCTTAGTGTTTTTGTTAAAGATTAGCTGACCATATATGCATGCGTTTATTTCTGGATGCTGTCTTATATTCCATTGGTCTATAGAATACCATATATGACAATACCATACTGTTTTGATTACTGTAACTTTGTAATATAATTTTAAATAAAAAATGTGACACCTCCAGCTCTGTTATTGCTCAAGACTGCTTTAGCTCTTTGGGGTCTTTTGTAGTTCCATATGAATTTGAGGATTATTTTTTCTATTTCAGAGAAAAAGTCACCGGAATTTTGACAGAGACTGCTTTGGGTAGTATGGACATTTTACCAATATTAAGTCTTCTGATCCATGAACACAAGGTATTCTTCCATTTATTTGTGTGTGTGTTTCAGTTTCTTCCATCAATATTTTATATATACAGATCTTTCACTTCCTTGATCAAATTTTTCCTAAGTATTTTATTATTTTTGATGCTATTGTAAAAGGAATTGTTTTCTTTCTTTTTTAAACTTTTTAAAAATTTTAGACAGAGAGCAGGAGAGCAGGGGAGGGGGGAGGGAGAGTGGGGGAGAGAGAGAGAGAATATGAAGAATATGATTCTTAAGTAGCCTCCACATGTGGAGCCTGCTGCAGGGCTCGATCTCACAGCACTGAGATTATGACCTGAGCTGGGATCAAGAGTTGGACACTCAACCAACTGTGCCACCCAGGCATCCCAAAAGGAATTGTCTTCTTAATTTTTGGGGGGCAGTTTGTTGTTAGTGTACAGAGATGCCACTCACTGACTTTTGTACGCTGATTGTGTATCCTGCAATTTTTCTGATTTTATTTGTTAGTTCTAACAGTTTTTTGGTGAAGTTTCTGGGATTTTCTGCAAACAGAGACAATTTTACTTCTTTATTTCCAATTTGGACATCTTTTACTTTTTTCCCCATAACTAATTGAACCTGTTAGTCTTCCAGTACCATGTGGAGTAGAAGGGGTAAGAGTAGGCCACTCTTCTGAGCTGAGTGGTTAACTTGTTCCTCATCTTGGAGGTAAAACCTTCAGCTTTTCTCCACTGACTATGATGCTAGCAATGGGCTTGTCATATATTTTGTTTATTAGGTTGAGGGCACCCCTTTTATACGAAAATCACTGAGAGTACTTATCATGAAAGAATACTGCATTGTGTCAAATGCTTTTTTCTGTACCTACTGAGATGAATGTATGATTTTTATTCTTCATTCTGTTAAAATGGTGTACTGCATTTATTGATTTGCATATATTGAACCATCTTTATATCCCAAGGATAAATTCCACTTGATCATGGTGTATGATCCATTTAATGTGCTATTGAAGTTTACTGAGGATTTTTACATGTATATTCATCAGTGATATTGGCCTATAGTTCATTTGTTTGTTTCTTTGTTTTTATAATGTCCACACCTTTTGCTCTATCTTTGAGAGGAAATTCTTAAGACTGTATGTCTTCTTTCAATCCTGCAAAGCCAAACTGGTCCTGAAAGACTCCGAAGTGCAGTTCCCTGAATTGTTCAAGTTTATGTGTCTTCTCCCAATCCGATGGAGTTCGTCCAACTTTCTATACATGCTCATGAGCCATCTATAAAGGCCTGCACCTCTCATTTGGGAAGCCAACCGTGGGAGGTGGATAAAGCATGCACAGCATTACAGGTGGCTGTGAGCCAGCTGGGAGGGAGGTCCACACATGCTGAGTCCCAAGCAGCTGTGGGCAGCTTCCTGATGGCATCCACAAAGCAGGCTAGTAAGATCCAAGGCCCTTTGATGAGTTCTCAGTCCTGGTGGCTGTGTTCCCAGCCCCTCCCAACCCTTTAGCTATGCCCGTTGCCTAAGTATTCTGGGTGGGGGGAAAAAAAAAGTGGGTCTCTTGGGCAGCATCCTGCCAGGCTGGAGAAGCCCGGCATTCATTCACTGTGCTCTCACTTTCCCCTATGGGAGAAATCACAGGTTAAGGGACTTTGTCTTGGCATTGAACTGTAGTGCCTTGGAGATGGGGTAGCAGGAACGAAGTGAAACTTTATCTTCTACTCATCTTTTCTTCTCACCATCCTCAATGCATCTATTCTTGGATTTCTTGTTCCAGTTCTTCCCCTAGACTACTGGACTCCCACAAAAGTACCCTCTTCTGTAGGTGATTGTCAAAATCAATGTTCTAGAAAACTCCTATTCCATCATCTGCTAATTTACGTTTTTAAAAGTTCCCACAACTGCTGTTATGGAGAATAAACTATAGCAGGGGAAGAGGGAGAACAGCAAAAACAGTTGAGCCTATAGTTTGAGAGATAATTCTAGTGGGCCCTATGAGATACATGGCAATTGGCCAAGAGTAGAGAAGTCTCAGAGGTTTAGTTGCCTTTTAATTTCCTCCTACTCCGATATTCTGCTTCATCTGAGTTCTGACTCTCTACTTAGTATCCATCTCCTGTGACAATCTTCTCACCACTCTAGGTTGACCCTGATGTGGAATGCAGGCTCATATCCTTTCAATTCTTCCATCAAGCAACACAAGTAGCTGTGAGTAGCTGACTCTATTAAGTCTACTGGTACCTCATGGAGCTTATGTTCCAGCACTGAATAGTGTAGCAATATTTAAAATGTAATATTAAATTACTCTGATGAAAAATCCTAGCCAACAACCCCTGTCAGCCTCAATACCCAACATGTTGCTATTGCCACCCTCTCTCCCTTGATCTCCTTGTAGCTCAATGCTTCCAAATTTTCCGTGTTCCTCATTGCCTCTCTCAGGCTGCTCACACTAAATAGTTTCCACATATTTTCACATAACAGCAATTCAGCATCCTCTTTATTTTGTATCCTCCCTCTAGATCCTGATTTGGGGCTTAACTGTTCATAGCCAAAATACTGCATCAAGGTGTTTTGCCAAGCAACATCAATGGCAGCTATATTTTCCTAAGTGGGACACTTAGATGTTTTCATACTTCTCTGATACTTGGTTGGAAGATCAGAAAACAAAGGGAGAAATGGATTGGAAAGGGCTCCAGAAGCCGACTCAGAGCATGCACCACCCCTTAAGATGGAAAAAGCAATGAAAGAAGCTATATGCAAAACAGTTCTAGCAATAATATTTCCTGGCCAATATATACTTTCAGTATTTGGTGTTTGTTATTACCCAGGGAACACAAAACCCCTATGGACATGAAAATCATAATAATTCCACCTCTCCTATCCCCTAACCTCCATACCCTTTGGCAGTCTCATACATTCTAGTCACTGTAAACTCAATTTTCCAGAAAATTTCAAGAAAACTAGTTTACTACCCTCTTCAACCATTTATATTCATTTTGGCTTATTGTATTAAGAGTCTAGGTACCTTTGAGTGTTCAGACTCTGTTAATGATGTCACAGTTCAGAAGTATAAGAATGATTGCAAAAAAATTAATTTCTGATTCATGTAGCTATAAATTGAGGCATGTTGACTTGAGCATTAGTTTTTCTAAGAACTTTGCTGCCAGATTTTATTTACAGAATGTCATCATTTTCCAAAACATTATTGTTTCTTTTTTCAGATCATCCCTTCTGACTAGAACAGGTAATTTGGGGAGGATTTATACATAATGATAGCCTGAATCCCTTCATTTATAAAACTGCACAGTACTTGGCTCATTAATAGCTGTTGAAAATGCTAGTCTAGTAAAAATCATAAGAAGAGCTTTTACTTGGGGAATTTAATTGCTGAAACCAAGTTGGATCCATTCCCAAACATTATCTGAGACAAACGATCAATCCTGATGCTGGGTGTTCCTCAAGGCAGACATTGGGAAGGCACTGCCCTGACTGGACAGGCATTTTGGTATTACAAATTTACCATCTCAGGGCTCTGCTTTACTCAGTGGGTTTGGAGAAATCATCGATCTGTTTATTCAACTCCATTTGGGCAATGAGAAATTCCATCGAGGGCACTGACAAGTCCTGAAAGGCAATAAAATGTAACAAAATATAATCCTAGTTTAAAGGATTTAAGCATCTGTCAATGCCACAATGATGACACTGGATTTCATCATTAAGTATATAGTAAAGTGGTGAGATGGAAATAAAAGATTAAATGAATGCCAAGTAAACACTTCTCTACAGTTACAGATCTTACAGCCATCTGTGTTGTTTTTTTCTCCCACCTTAGGCCCTGGTTTGAGAGCTGGTGGAAGAAATACTCTATATTGTGTAAAAGAATGCAAAGGAAAGCTGCTGATTTACCTAAGATCTTTTCCTACAGTCTGAGGTAGAGCAGAGTCAGATTTCAGGCATAAGAATAGAGTGTTATGGCCCAGATTGGACTTTAATTTCCTCTCTATAATTGTGCATTCATGGGTGTGCATGTGTGTGTGTGTGTGTGTGTGTGTGTGTGTAGAGTTCTCAAATTATTTCCAATAACTAGGCTGATTATTAGAATCTCTTGAGGAGCTTTTAAAAATATAGACGCCCGGGGTGCCTGGGCAGCACTGTTGGTTAAGTATTCAACTCTTGATTTTGGCTCAGCTCATGATCTAATGGTTCATGGGATGGAGCCCCACATCGGGTTCTGTGCTGACAGTGCAGAGCCTGCTTGGGATTCTCTTTGCTCTTCCCCTGATCTCATTCTCTCTCTCTCAATAAATAAATAAATAAATAAACATTTAAAAAATACAGATGCCCAAACTTACCTGCCCTGAGGCCCAGGAATCTGTACTTGTAAAACAGGTGTTTATCCAGGTTAGTTTGTACATTAGCCAGGTATAGAACCACTGTTATACTAATGACATATCAGATAAAGGGTTAATATCCATAATCTTTAAGGAACTCACCAAACTTCACTCCCTTAATACAAACAACCCAGTGAAGAAATGGGCAGAAGATATGAACAGACTCTTCTCCAAAGAGGACATCCAGATGGCCAACAGACACATGAAACGATGCTCAGCCTCCCTTCTCCAGGGAAATACAAATCAAAACCACACTGAGATACCACCTCATGCCAGTCAGAGTGGCTAAAATGAGGAAATCAGAGAACTCTAGATGCTGGTGAGGATGTGGAGAAACGGGCACCCTCTTACACTGTTGGTGGAAATGTAAACTGGTGCAGCCCGTCTGGAAAACAGTGTGGAGGTTCCTCAGGAAATTAACAATAGAACTCCCCTATGACCCAGCAATAACACTGCTAGGAATTTAGCCAAGGGATACAGGATTGCTGGTGCACAGGGGCACATGTACCCCAATGTTCATAGCAGCACTCTCAACAACAGCCAAAACATGGAAAGAGCCTAAGTGTCCATCAACGGACGAATGGATCAGGAAGATGTGGTTTATCTATATGATGGAATACTACATGGCAATGAGAAAGAATGAAATCTGGCCGTGTGTAGCAACATGGATGGACCTTGAGGGTGTTATGCTGAGCGAAATAAGTCAGGCAGAGAAGGACAAATACCATATGTTTACATGTATGGAGGATTAGGAGGAACTTAACGGAGGACCATGGGGGAGAAGAAGGGAGGAAATAGTGGGGGAGAGGGATGGAGGCAAACCATGAGAGACTCGTGAATGCTGAGAACAAACTGAGGACTGATGGGTGTGTGGGGGGGGAGGGGGACATGGGCATGGAGGAGAGCACTTGTGGGGATGAGCACTGGGTGTTATATGGAAACCAACTTGACAATAAACTATTTGTTAAAAAAAATTAAATTAAATTAAATTAAAAAAAAAAAACCCACTGTTATACTATCTATTTCTCACCTCCCCCTCACCACTTCTCTGCTGGCTCTGGTCCAGTGATTCAGTTTCCCAAAGTTTCCATTTTCTTGTTTCCTTTATATTGTGATGTACATTTGATCCATACAGACTTGTATGGATCCATACAGATCCATTTCCTTCTTGGCCTTAACAAAAGTGTTCATCTTTCCATGTGCAACTATTATTCTTCTAGCTCCTAAATATTTGCTAATAACTAAATAAGTGCACAGCCAGGTAAATTGATGTCCTTTAGCCCCAGGGACACTTCAACCACAAACTGGTCAAGCACTGCCCAGTGATCCAACGACAGGCTCACAAACCTTTATCTGAACTGATTCTGAGGCAAACACAGAGACTGGCGGAGTCTGGGGCAACACCCAAATACTGTTAGTGGCTCCAGCATCTTGAAATAAATGAATTTTTTATTTTGAGGTCAAGTTTGGCAAAGAATTGTTTCCTTGTTTAAAGAAGAGAAAGGATTTAAAATGGATTACATATAACTTTAAAGTACATGTTCCTACAAAACAATAGCTTCATGAGCTAACTCTAAATGTTAGTTATAAATGAATCAGAAACATATGGTTCCAACTTTTCTCTACATACAAAAGAGACAAAAACTTCAGGGGAAAGGAGCTAGAGACAAACACAAAGTTGATTTTCCAAAGGCCTCAATGCTGAGCAATGGTTTAGAACACTTTCTGAAAACTCTCAGGTTTAATCAACTGTCTTTTTTAGCTTAGCTATCAGAATCTACAGATACCTATCAAGAATTGGTATTAAATGAAAGTTTGCAACAAATTCTAACCAGAAGTAGTTTTCAAACTACAATCTAATTATTGGAAATTTGCTAAGGACAGGATGAAAAAAAGATGGAGACATACTTAAAAAATCCAAAGCTGGCATCCGACAACTTTCAAGTATTTTATAATAAAAAGAGAGTACTTTAAATTGAATGATAGTTGAACAAATCAATTGTTGCTGAAGAATTTTTCCTTAATTAAGTCCTGATGGCTTTACAATGCAGTAAAGAATGTACTGGGCTTTTGACAACTCCTTCCATTCCCAGTGAAAAGGGAAGACAGCCCAGAAAATCACTTATGAAGACCCGGACAACAGATGGTACACCAGAATTGAACAATGATCTCAATAAGTGAGGCCTCAGAGACATGATGATGCATTCTGCAGCTGGATATCATAAAACTTGGGTACCAGTGGTACACTGCTATGACCACTAAAATTAGGTTCTTATAGAGCCACAGGCCAGTGTGTATGACTAGTCAAAGCCCAGTAACAAGCTGTTCAAAATTCCCAGTTTTGAAAGCTGGGAAGCATCTGGGGCCTGCAAGGAAGTAAAGCTCCCTACATTTTCTGCAGTATTGCTATTACCTTAAGCAAGTCAAAATCCCTCTGGCTCAATTCCCTGTGGAGTGATGGCTACACCACCTATTCTATCTATTTCACACAAAACCTAAAATGAAAAAAGAAATTAGCTTTTAAATATAAATATGCTATAGCCAAATAATCTGGCATTTTGTCAAAATAAATGGACACATTTTAGAGCTTGCATTTTTAACCCACTGTGCTAGGTTAAAAATAGCTGCAAATTCTTTGACCCTCTTCCCATTAAGAAGAAGGGTCTATGGCTTCTCCTCTTGAAACTGGGCAGGTTCTGTGACTGCTTGACCAATAGAATATGGTGGAAGTTCCAGGTCTAGGGCATTAAGGAGAGATTCCACTTTCTGTCACATGAAATACTCTTAGAACCCAGCCTCAACATAGTGAGGAAACTTGAGCCCCATTATAAGACCTATATGGAGAGAAATGTGACCTCCAGACAGC